GGGGGGGGGGGGGTGTTAAAGCTGAATAAAGTGTTGAATGAATTTGAAAAAGTGCTGACTGGCTTGCCATTTAACAGCACATGACCTCTTAAGGAGATTTCAGGCCAGTGTCTGTGCTAAGCAGCACACTGGAGCTCACTGTGCAGCAGTGGGAGTACTGTAGCTCTTACAGTACATGCTGGGAAGGGAGGCTTAGTGACAGCTCTGGGATGAGCCCCCCTGTGAATAGTGTGTGGAGCATCAGCATCTACTACTGAATGAAAATGTATCTCAGTTTTATTTCTAGGTTTCTCACTGGAAGAGCGCTCATATGTTAGAAACAACTGATTTTCAGCCAGACTATATGTATTCAAAGGCTGTTTCCAGCTACAATAATGCACGCCTAACTGCACTTTATAATGAATGATGTCTGACAAGCACATCTCATTCAGAATATTCTCTATGTACTAGAAAAAAATGAGAGATGATGTCTGTAAATGTAAATTAGATGCAGTCCCTCAGAAATAATTTAAAAACAATGTTTGCATTGTATTTGCACTGCAAATGGTATTTTTATAATAAGATTTTAATCCAGAATTTAGCCATGCTAGCAGCATCGTGGATGAGAATGCTCTCTCAGTCCACCACTTTGGTCCCAACTGAAACAAACACAAGTATTGGATGGATTACCATGAAGTTTGTACTGACATTGCTGGTTCTCAGGAGATACATCCTACTGACTTTGGTGATCTGCTAAATTTTCTAGCACCACCATGAGGTCAGTTTTAGTCAAATCCACTATTATTATTATTATTATTATTGTTATTGTTATTGTTATTATTATTATTGTTATTATTATTATAACTATCGGATGGATTGAAATGTGGTACAGACGTGCGTGTCTCCCTCAGGATGAGTGTAACAACTCTGGTGATCCCTTAACTTTTCATCTAGTGGCAACATCTTTTTAATTTCAACAAATTAATTAATTTGTACAGGAGTCACTTTGTCCTATTGCTGAAATGAATATTGCACAGATTGGAGTGGATGCTCAAATGAATTAAATCTCAGCTCTAGCACAGTGTTATATATATATATAATTAAACTGTTTAATTCAAATAAACTTAAGTATATTCTGTAAAAAACAGTGAAAAAATATTACATCTTTTATTGTTACCACTTTTGTGTATCTGACATTGATTTTGAGTGACTGATATAATTAGCAATAGCAAGAACTGTCAAATATAGAATGAGATTGAGTATATGTTTCATGACATTTGGGAACAGAAAGTGGGACTAAGAAAAAAAAAGGAGGAAATGTAATGAAAGCAAGAGAGTGAGAGTGCAAAGGGGGGGTGGAGACACATCTGGACAACTCATCTTTGGCATACTGAGGTCATGAATCACTCCAACCACACACGCATCATTTTCTGTATTATGTTCACCCTGCCATCGCTTGCTGCTGGCTTCTTCCATGTTGACTGTGAGCATAAACTTGCTACTCCTATTCTGTCACATTCACACGCCAGCAGCCTGTCCAGATACCAACTCTGCTGTCTAGGCAGTCGCTCCAGATTATGGACTCGAACAGATAAGAAAGATCTGCCCTGTTGTATTGTACATTTCTTGTGCTGACACTAAGCATTCTGTCCGGATTCGTCTGGGTGGCCAGAGGATGCAGCCCTTTAGATATTCCAGACATTGTTTGTCTAAGTCATTTTGAATATAAAGGTATACCTTTCCCCATGTTTTCTGTCATATCCAGCATCTGGCATATGGTTGCTTTTATTGTGAAAAACAGTTACACGACAACCAAGACTTTCTCTGTCAATTTGATTTGTCTCATTAACAATCAAAATACCTGGCACCTGGCAACAAATGGCATCTGTAAGCATTCTTTTCATCTCACTTATGCAAATAGTGACACAAAAATAGTAATATAGTCACTTGGATACAGTTAAGTGCCCTTCAGTTGCTTTCTTATTTCAGCAATACAGCTTTATTCCTTCACTATCAGTCATGCACATCCTGTCCACGCTCCTCAAATTCAACAAGTTCGCCATTTTGTCTATGTGCGCGCACACATGTCCATCAGGATGTCTCTGCGCACCACGAGTGCTGCAATGTGTGTGGTTGTGTGTATGTGTGTGTGGGGGGTGGAGGGGCAGCCATGGAGAACCCAGCTGAAGCTGCTGGAATTTCCTGCAAATTCTTCTGGTTCTTAAATTGTCGAGTCCAACGTGTGCTGAGATTCTGGTGAACGCTGCGTGATGACAGCAACACAGATAAACCTTGTTCTTTTAATTACTCTGATCATAAATATTAGGCATTACATGTTTTTTTTAATAGGAAATCAAGATACCAATGTGGCACTATTTATGTAATTTGTGTTATGATGTCTTTACTGCATGAGCCTGAAATCAATCAGTGATGTATGAGAGGTGCATCAAGCTTGATCCTTATCTTATTAATGTGAAGGACACCAAAATACCTCATGCATAATTTTCATTGCTCAGAGCTTGTCTGATATCATATGGTTTGAAATGAACATATTTCAGAATGACAGTTACACCACATTGTGCTTGCATGCGGAGGACAGAGCTGTCAGACTGTCATCATTTGGTCTTTTTATTTTCTATGATGGTCTGCACTGAGAAAGTCATTTCTGTCAAGTTAATGCGTTCTCTAGTCACATGGAAAAGGGATGTGAACGGAGACAAGCCGCTGCACACTGAGTGGATGTGATCGGTCACAATGCTTGCATGCAAGTAAAACAAAACCAGAGAAAGAGGAATGAGAGAAATACATTGGAGTTTCTATACAATTACAGTATTCTTGCATTATACCAAAAGTCATGTACACAGATCAGAAGTGGAGTTAATTGTGGTGAAAACCAGGGAAGGACAGTGCAGAGAATATAAATATATATCATATGAATTACTAGGTGAGTGAGAAATGCAATGTTGTTTTTAATTAATGTTTGCAGTATGACAGTGCAGATACAGTTACAATCCATCTGTCAACAGACTTCCCAACAGTATAATGACACATTCCTGTTGGCTTTGTGTGGATAAATGTGCTGTTCCTGTGGCTGCTTTCTCTCTGATTTACGGTAAAGACAAGCTGCACAAAAGCCAGGCCCTAACACGGCCAGGAACATGGAAGACCTGATAAAGGGAGGGAGGGGGAAAGGGATGAGGGTGTGGAGGCTTTTGACCCGCACATTGTCTACACTCAGGAGCATGCACATACACACGCCTACATTTAATCACGTTCCTTAGATCTCCACAGTCTGTCCTTTAGTTTCATTTTTACAGGAGAAAAGACTCCTGAGTGTTTTCTGAAATGAAACTTAAGCCATGGAAAAACACAGCTGCTTTTAATGTGCTGTCACAATATCTCTGACTCACAGGCCATGCACAGGCTCAGAGGAGCTAAGGACACATCTATTCCACAGGTATTGATGCTCAGTTCACTCTTAAGACAGCCAAATTGCCATCTGTAAAGGATGCAAACCAGACAAAAATAATAATTTAAAGTGAAGATCAGACGAGGCCTATTGCCAAAGGTTTTACTGTACTTATCTGATAGGGACCTTGGAAGGCTAAAAGCAGGGGTGATTCTGGTTCTTTAAGCCCAGTTCAGATCAAAGATTCACAACGAGACAAGTTGAAACTTGAAACTACTTGCAACGCACCGGTCTGCAACATTCTGAAACCCTGCCGGTTCACACCAATGCAACTAGACGAGACTGTGTATCATCTTCATAGCAACGACCCTATGCACTTCTGTTCGAACTGCCCGCTCTTCAGGCTTTTTTGTAACTGGATATCATTTATAGCACCCTGAATTATAAAATGAGGATAATGATAGTGAGTTACTTGCTATGGTTGCATTTTACTGATGAAATAATAAAAATAATTTATTATTATAAAATAATGAATTATTAATAATAAATAAAATGAAAAGGTTAAGAATTTGGAGACGTCCATGGGTAAATTTTAAGGTTTGTGTCAGCTTAATTGATGATGTGATCCTTTCTTACGCCCATCCAAAACTCACTTCAATCAGCTGGCTTTGCAACGATCCGACTGGCTGACCGACCTCTGACGTGCCTTACTTTCTAAAACCAGCCACTGCAGATTTGACAAGCTGAGTTGTAAGCAACGCCATAAGCCAGCTTGAGTCGAGCTGAGAAAATCAGTTCACACCACTGCAACATTTCCCTGCAACGTTCTAAAACTGTTTGTCTCATTGTGAATCTTTGGTCTGAACTGGGCTTTAGATGAATCTGATCTGATTGCAATTGCATTCATTCCCAGATAGCAACAGGACTGAACACAGACCTGAAAAGGTTTGATTGAATGTGCTTTTACTGTATCTCTACCAGGCTAAGCTGAGCTTATTTAATAGTTTCAATGTCCACCTGCTGCAGGAGCCGTATGCAAAATGGGCATCTGCTACACCACTTTTTAATGTATTTTCTTCTTGCATTGTTCTGTACTGTACTGAATGCATCACTTCTATGCTTCATTTCAGCCAGACCTGCATGAATAATGGAAGCCTGAAATGTTCTTTTCTGAGTGAAATGCTACACAAATACAGAATTCTTCCTCTTACCTTGTAGCAAGAGATATGGTGCAACTGCTTCTCACACAGGATTCAAATGGGCAAATACACATCACATTGGGACACGGCTCGCCGCGGAGCAGGTCTGTGTTTTTCGCTGTGTGGAATAACTACAATAGCAAACCCTCAGACCAGACCTAGAAAATTCAGCTAGAAAAAATCATGAGATGTTTGACAGATCACTGTGTGGCGGTGTGCAGTGTTTCCCTCCTGACTTTCTTCTGTTATCACAGGTCTTACCACATGAGCTATTGAAATTTGCAGAGAAAATCCACCTTATACGTGGCCTGCAGGAACAAAATATCATAAAAAATCTCACACACACCCACACACACACACACGATAATACACACACTTGTTGCAGTGTGAGGCAAATTTTTTTGCTGTTGTATTATGTATTATGTGTGGAGAACTGGGTTGTAAGATTCTGCTGTGTACTCCTGTGGAGCCCTGTGCAGATCATACTGTTGTTCACTAAACACAGTAGAACACTGCACTGTGGTTTGAATGTACCAGGGTGAAGTTAGTACTGCTGTGGTGTACTCACGGTGCAGACTGAGGGAGATATTGATGACTCTCTCCTCTGTGAAGCTCTTCAGATTGGGGATCTTGGCACATTTGAGGTGTGTGGATGAGGGGGAGTCTCCCACGTGGATCCAGCAAACGGTCTCCTCTGTGTAGAGGAAGTCCATGGCTGTAGTCTGTTTGGTGCTGGTGGACAGCAGGTTGTGGACTGAGGTGCCGCTCAGGGAGGTGGCTTGGATGTTCTGGGAGTTGGCAATCAACAGGACAGGCAGACGGTCTACTGGCACTGGGACGTAACATGGACATAACTAACAGTGAACAGGAGGAACATGAACAGAACATCCCCACAGTTTAGTCAAACTGGTTTGCATTCAGTCCTGCTGCTGTCTCCAGGTACTTACCATTCTTGGCCTTGCACGAGCGGTTGTCTGGCTGGGACAAGTAGCCCTCCACACAGGAGCAGGTGTAGCCACCTTCAGTGTTGGTACAGGACTGACTGCAGGTCCCGTACACACTGCACTCATCAAAATCTGAAGCACAGAAACCACAGTTGGTCTTATTGCTGGGGTATAACTAATAACTATAGATTTTAAACAATTCTGTCTTTCCTGTTCTTTCTTTTTTTTGCCAGACTGAGTTAATGATTCATTAAATGTGGCTTGTTGCAAAAAAATCAGGCAAACCTTTATACCAGTGAGGTTTACAAGTGTTGCAGCGTTTCTCCACAATCCCAGACCCCCTGAGCTACCCAATGTGTGGTCTGCACTTGGGTTTCTCTAAAAGCTGAGTAAACACTGGTGCAGCAGAAAGAACTTCAGCTCTGATGTGGAATTACCGGACAGGTAAGCACATGAGCCACATAAGCTTATTGATGCAACATAGCAAACAACATATTATGGATATTCAGCAGTACTCTCAACCTGTCATATTCGGGCCGTTGGCCTCTTCATGCAGGAATATAACAGGAATATATAACAAAAATCGATTCTTTTTCCTGGCTTATTGATTAAATACTCAAACATACTTAACCACAGGTATCACCTAGGGCCAGAGGGCTGTTTAGAGGAACTCACCTTTGCATGTCTTTCCATCTGGGCTGATCTCATAACCACTCTTACAGTAACAAGCAGTCCCTGCTGGAGTCACCGCACAGTTTTCCTGACATCCCGTGAGTGAGCAGTTGGACATAAACTCTGGGGGGACAGAAAAAGACAGGAATGAGTTTTTGTAATGTGTGCAGGAATGCGACAGACGTTGTATAAACGGTTTAAGGTGTTGACTCATGTTTCTTTCCTGTTACTGACATTGTTATTGGGCTCAAAACACCAGCATCAGTGTGTCTAATAAAAGGTGGATTTGTGCATTATTATGCAATGATCCATTCAACATACCACTACAAACCCGCAGATTATACTGTGATCACTTATTTCATTCATCCTGCCGGGTGCTATCTAGCAGGAGACATGGAAAGAGGTATGGCTGTAACAGGAGCAGGTTCTGCTGTTACAGCTGCCATTGTATACTTTCTGGGGAATAATTACACCTCATCAGGGTGATGAAGTGCATAAATACTTGATGTGCGTGGCTTAATTTTTGAACTATACTAGGCCTCCTCTTGACAGTGAGGCACATATAAATAATAAGTGGTCAGCTTACTTAACCATCAGCTCAGCATCAGTATTAGAGCTGGCAAGAGACGTGATCTACAGTAAGTGTTGTTGAGCAGTACAGAAACTGACAGCCTCTCACAAACAGTGCCTGGATCTGTCCCTGAAAACAAAAAAAACATCTCTTCAACCAGAATGCGTCACAGATGAGAGTGATGAGTTCAGAAATGGAAAACCCACTCAAGTCAACAAGTGGATCATAAGTGAACAAAAGCTCAGTACAAAAGCAGCACAGACAAAGAATGAGAAAACCAAGCTTTGGGGGATTTTAGTACATAATGTAGAGTGATTTTATTGTTATTTTCCACCTTTGCTGTATTTTTCCAAAGATTAATTGTTATTTCTCTGTTTACCTCTCTGTTTAAATGTTTGTTTTGGTCACAGCTGAGCAGCATTAATGTGATCTATTGCTACTATTAGAGTTTATCAAGCTTTGCCTCACCACTGTTGTTCACTGGTTCTGAATGTGGTTCCACTGTCAACAGTTCTGGATATATACAGGAGTTCTCCAGAATAACTTTTTATCATCACACCCATTAATAACATTATTGTTGGCAGGATATACTGCTGCTACTGTACAAACTAACAAAACATGTGATATGAACACAGAGGTGCAAGTACATATAATCATCCTTAAATCCATGCTGTGGCATGCTGTGGATGTAAGATGTTTATGACTTTAATGCTCATTAATAGACCATTTTTTGTTCCTCATGGCTAAAACTTCAGGTTACCCTTGTATTTGATTCTGAATGAGTCACATCAAAATGTGATATTCACATTCATTGTAACGACAAATCAAATTATTTCGAGCTTTAAGGTAACGTTAATGTGGATTGCTCCTTAAAGTAAAACAAATATTAGATAGGAAGTCTGTAAATGGAAGGCCAGAGACAAAATCAACAAATACGTCTACCATACACACACAATCAATACCTCCCCGCTAACCTCCACCATCTCCAAGGCTACACACACATCAAATATAGAAGGGCACAAATACAGCACGCTACAATCACACCTTCCAGTCAGCTGACGACGCATAATGGAATTTCAGCACAGTTTTCAACCGTGCGCTGCATATCCTGAGTTATAAATGAAGACCCAGTGAGTCATAGTCAAACAGACACAGTCATGTCAAACCAGGCTGAGATCTATCAGTCACAAGTGATTCACTTTGCCCAGACACACTGGCAGACAATTCACACTAACACAACATCTCCGGGGAGAGAGGATCAAGACTTTCACCACATTCAAGTTAAAAGAAACCAAAGCCCTACAGTTCTCAGTGCTGCCATACTGTGCTGCCCATACTGTATTTCTGCACTACTGGCCAAATGGATTCCTTAGATCAATAATAAAGTCAAACTTGAACCTGAACAACTATAACTGCTGAGTGAGAAAAAAGTAAACCACGCAAATCAGCAGATTTCTCTTTAGTTTGTGCATTTGTAGCTCTTACCACAGGACTTTTAAGTGATCTGTTCTGTATGAGAATAAACACCGGATAATTGACTCCATATAACCAGCACCCTGCTGGCAATCCCCATACAATGCATTTAATATTATAGACAAGGACACAAGTCTCCCTGCTGTACTCCAGAGGCTTGCTGGGACGACCACAGTTCAAATTACAGACATGCCCGGAATTTTCCAAAACAAGTCTGGGCACCGAATGACTGAGATGTGTTTAGAAAACCAACATGGGCAACAATGTAAACAACCTACCGTGACACATACAGTACCACAAAATATTCATTTTGGAGCACATAAAGTGCTCTGTTTTGGTTCAGAATTAAAACGACTCATATCAGTCAGATGACCCCTGACTGGGACAGGGAAGATATATTACAGACACACGCATATATATATATACACTCATAAAGTTGGTGTGTCTCCACATGTGGACTTTCACTCTGAACTCCAACTCCAGCCAGCCTGAAAGTGCATGAAATTTTTATGTTCTTTCCCATGCCTCTCTCCAACGTTTCTTTAATAAATATTTAATCCCAGCTCATTTTCTAACTGAAGGCATAGTGGGAAGATGAAAAAAAATAAATCTAGAAAGGACAGGTGCCCACACTGTGTCGATAAAATTTTCAGAGACTCGGGACAGAATAATAATTAAATCTTTTGTTTTGGTTCAGTAAGATTCTTAGTTGTTGCATTTTGTACGGGTTGGAGATGAGAAAGGCAGTTTTGGCATGTATCAAGCTAAACAGAAATCTATCAGGAATACCAATCAAGGTTATTGTAGTAGAGTATATATTAGTGATGCAGAAGTAATGATGCCTGCTGGGTAGTTTAATATTTATATGATCTGTGTTAGGATTTAGACCAAATTTGAGACACAATGTAGCTTAGTATTTGATTGTCTATCATCAGGCTTTTTTCTCTGCTAAACTTTTGACATGACTTGCAATAGAGGAAGTCCTCGGCGCTGTTTAAGTTCCGTTTCACCCTTCCTGCCGTAATTCATCTATCTAAGGAAGATATATAGGTCTTTTGCACAATCAAGTTCTATTTTCTCTCCATGTGGTTAACTTGATCAGCACATTCTTTTAAAGACCACTTTATTCTTCAGCATCATCAAAAAATTGCTTCCTGGTTTCTGGTTTCAGCATGACAACTTCCCAAATTAATGCGTTAACGAATGAATTAGCGGCTGTC